CACGTGTGTTGTAGCATGCACATTTCTGACGGATGCGGTTCACAGAATCATGCATCAGGTGAGTCACGGCTTCAGAGAATGCCAACAGCCTGTTTTACGCAGTTTCAACTATCGCTTGTAAACGCTTGTTGTTTACTGTGTTAAACCTTAAAGTGTTTCAGTGTCAATTTAACGTTTTGGTGTTATCGCCCTAAACCCGCTCTCTCTCTCTCTGTCTGTTGAGTGATGGGTGAGTGAGCGTGAATATGGTCATTCATCATCATCATCGTACAGCGAAGTACAGGGAAGCGAACTTCACTGATCGCTGCCAAACTCTCAATGCATTGGGGTTTGATGGACGGGTACTGTTAGGGTGTCCAGCCGCTAAGCAGGATATGGTCATTAGAATGAAAGGAATGCATATGCAAGTGTATGATCGTTCATGTTAGTGGCCGATCGAATCGATCAGTTTTCCGCTACCAGCGCACAACTTAGTCTAACGTTTAACTGTTTAATGCTCTTATTTCATCTTTTTCTATCAGTCAACTGTCGGTTTTCTCGGTACACATTTTATACCGGAGCTGGGAGCAGCTCGTCAGTCTTACTTAAAGGTAACGGTTCAGGCTGAGCATAGAATTCGGTAAACAAATTCGGATTCGATCGCTCAAAACCCAACGTCTAGTATAATAATATACTAGGTGTTTTTACTTCCTTTTTTGTTTTGATTGTAGAAATATACAATAAATTTTCAGGACGGGAGTCGCAGTCATTCAATGGCTACCTGAGGAAATACAGAAATAGGAAAGACAAGTGGCGGTGGACCGTTTTGACCCTGGGACTTCTGGGTCACAATTTGGTGACCTAACCACTTGGCCACCCATAGAGAAATGACCATGGATACATTATGCAAACCCATGTTTCTGACTTTTTCATTCACACTTCTGACGGGAAAACATTGCTTTCTTAAACGTTGTCTCCCACCATTGCTTTCACCTAGAGAGCTTATAACCGATTTTCTTGTAACAACACATGGTATACCTACTGTTTACTTCAGCAGACGGCTTGAACTCCATAGACACGAAGACCTGCAGTTCACTGATGGAAATAGGTGACCTAAGACCCGGGAGTGGCGAACCACCAGGTTTGACATGGTATTGGACCGGACGACAGCAAAGCTGCCTACCACCAAAATCAGTGGCAGAGCTCGAACCTCGGATAATAGGGTTCAAAGTAGGCCGATGACAGCGACTAAACCACTGCGCCACCACCACCCGCTTGTGATTAATCACAGCTTCCCGGTGGAACTTAGCTGGAACTCTTTCCTCGGTCCGGACTGGTCACATATGTCATTAGATACGCTGAGATTCACACTGCTGTACTACACTCTGATCGTCCATGTTTGATCCAAATACTGTCGACTACAAAAGAACTCACTGATTGCTCGCATACCGCACCATACGCCACCTAATCCGAACTCTTCTGTCTTTCTGTCCATGTCTATCTCCTCCCTTTCCGTGGATTTGTGTCCGATTGATCCTGTTGGTGTATCAGATTTTGTGAAGCAGAATGGTGACATTAATAACAGGGAGCGAAGCTTTGCGAATATTATGGGTACATATTTGAAGTTCTTTGATCTGTGCATTGTCATCCACATGATTTGTTCCCATATTCTTTGATGCTCTTATGTGGTTCGCCAGTGACATTCATAGGCACCAGGTTCTCAAACCAGATTATTCGATCCTCCTGACTATGCGATTCACTCATTCTACGTTCAAACTGGTTGTTCTACTTTCTGGTCCATCATTTCCCATCCTACAAGTGCTGTTCGCTTTGGACTCTCGGAAAACCACCGGAGGTTGGGGTCCCGGTCGTCACAAATGATGCGCAAAAAAATTCGGCTCTAACCACAAATATCGTCCCGGTCGACTCCGGATGCTTTCCGCCTTCTTTTCGACCTCAACCCATTGGTGCTGGACCGTCTTCGTCTACACTGTCACACTCGAGACCGCCTGGTTCTGTTCAGTCTAGCGGATCAGCCAGTTTGTTTTTGTTGCCTCACCATCTGGATCGGAAACGCATTTTCCTCTCACCCCAGCCGGTTGTGATGTCGTCATCCTCAACGGTATCTCTTTGGTTCCAATGCCATTTACCTTCTCTACTGGGTCAACTTTTGATTGATGCACGCAATCAAACCCAGCTCGCTTGGTGTATGCGTGATTTTCTGTTCACCGTCGATATTCGGCCGAGCCAGATTAAATGTGACTTGTCTGTGGGCATGATTGCTGCTGATGTTCGCCAGTTGGGCAAGTAAGTGCTCCGCCATTTTAGTTGTTCGCTTGGTTTGAACCTACGTGTGTGTTCCCTTGTTGATTGCTCATTCGATTCCTCAGTAGTAGTAGTAGTTGTGGTTGTTGGTTTAGTAGTGGTTGTAGTAGTAGTAGTAGTGGTAGTAGTAGTAGTCGTAGTAGTAATTTGGAATCGAACACCCTCGAAGAATGTCTTGAATAAAAATAGAAAATGAATAAAATAGAATAAAATAGAAATATACGCATTTAACTCACAGTTGTTAGTAGTCATTTGGGATAATTGATATTGATTGAAGTAAACTGACTATCCCTCGGAGCCCAGTGTTCAAATCACGGACGGAACGATGGATTTGCCTTACTGATGTACTTTTATAAGATCGAAACTCGAGTCTAGTGATTCCGAGTTTATGGTTGAATCGATGATCTGAGAATCGTGAATGAAGGTGAAGTTCGAAGGATAATCAGCTCAAATCAATCAGGATATTCTGTGACAATATCCAGCTCGTTCTGAGTACAGTTTGTTAAAGGAAAAGTGATGTAATCACGGTTGAGGCGATTAGTCCATGGCGTTTGTGGTTTGATAATACGCTCGGACCTTATACGATTTTTGTCGAGGATCACGCTACGCGGGATAATCGACCAAGTTGTCTACCGTTTTTCAGCAACACGTGACAAGATATCAGTGAGTATGCCTGACGAGCGGCAAGATCCGCAAATCAACCGTGTACTTTTACCAAAGTTTTGTCCCGTCACTCATACTACTTATTATGAAATTTATAGGTTTAACTTCACGCACCTCTGGTTAGAATGTGTGGCAAACAAATCACGGTACAATAATCTTGCTAAAAGCAAAAAGGTTCATTGGCCCCGTCTAGTGAGCATATGATCCGATGAACTGGACACCGACCCCTAATGGATTCCGGTTGTCACTCACCACCCCGCTGGCCTGTGGGTCATACTTTGGTGAGCCGAGGGCTCCGGTTGTGAATTCCTCAAGAAAATTCATCTGCTTAGACCTGGCTAACCCGGCCGTTTTGAGCCCTCGAGCATATCATAGACAAAAGTCTTCAGAACAAAGAGAGCGTTCCATGATTTGCTAGTGGGCCGAATACTGCCAGGTTCCCCAGGCCCAGGTAGATGAACTTTCCCGTGAATTTACAACTGGAATCTTTGTTTAACCGAAATCTGCCCTACAAGGCCACGGATCGGTATGTGAAAACCGCAATCCCTTAGGGGTGGGGTGGGGGGGGGGCAGTGTTCATTTCATTTAAGTCATCGGATCATGTTCTTTTAAACGGGACCAAACGTCCAAAGTGTACAATACACCCGATGTCCAGTCGACCCGGTGATCACTGCGACAACCAGAAAGATGTGTGTGTCGTGGGGGGGGGGTTGGTTCATGTTGCTCTTTTTGGTTGTTTTGAAATCTATGTTTTTAATCACTTCCCTTATGTAAACTGCCAGTGGTTCACCGGTTCACCCGGTTGTTAGCTTTTCATCCTATCACTTCGGTGAATAAACACCTCCACCTTGAGAAGGCAGTGATTTTGGGCTCCCTCAACAGAAGCTGTTTGAGACGCTTGATCCTACAGAATCATTTCAGGAGGTGCGAGAGAAGGGTAATCAGTCATATGCAAGACGCCCCGTCGACCATACTGTTGCTTTCCGCTTCATAACCCTTGCAAGTAACTCGGTATACTGCAGCAAAAGACCTACTGTTGGTTGCAATATCAGTCCTAATAGGGGATACATTCCGAGGTCCGTTTTGATTTCGTTTATTTGATTTACCTTTTTTTCCTTTCATTTCTTTGTTAAGACGATGCGTAGACTATTCATCATAATTCCGGCTCTGTTATCCCGCCATCACCTGTGGTTTCCACTTGAATGCGGCTAATTTACTTTGAAGGGATGAATTTCGTTCGATGTTTCCGTGAATAGGAATTCTCTACGATTTGCGTTCAGCGGCGAAGTCGGTTCAGATTGAGATCCTATTCCGGCCCCAGCGGTGTGCACCGAAAACACCTGCCGGAGGCCCAAACTTCAATTGCCAGGGTAAAGTCACTTTTTGTGACTGTGTACCGCTACGCCACTACGAACACGGGTATAGCAAGGCAGGGCAGTGTTGTTTGTTTCTGATCGATTAAGAAAATCGCCCAACAATTTCTACCGTCATCCTTCTAGGTGCCACATCCGTTCATTATCTCGGCCAGGTCACCTTAGACAATTGGTCAATTCAAATAAGTTTGTGTGCCAGTCGTTTAGCTTCCCAAAGTTTTCCATGTACGTTCGCTACAGTTCACAATCGTCCATCCGTATTGGGTAGTTTGTAATGTACCGTTTAAGCTAAGCAAAGCGACATTCGTCTTGATGTCCCCTTGTCGATAATAGCTATAAAAAGCGGGTTATTGCGTTGTATTCCGACGGCAACCCGGATGATCATGGTCTAGTGCCTACAAACCTTTGCTAATTGCTAAGGGAAATGACCCCCCCCCCTCACCACATAGTTTGTATGGACGGGATGGTGTATGTTCTTTGTATGCTGTCCTCTGATGATGAACTTTAATAGTATATCAGTTGCTCGAACATGCTTTTTAACTCAAAACTGTCCTTCAATTAATTCAAACTTCACATGAGTAATGAAGGATTTGGTTAAATTTCAAATGGGAAATTCGTCGTGTATATAGCAGTTGAAGCGTGAACTGAAAAGCTAGGAAGCACTGGACAGCTGTTTCGACTTGGTCGGGTCTCATCAGCAGTACAAATCCATCGACCCAACTGGAGATCGAACCCGGGACCTCACGGGCAGAACGCTAGCATGCTGCCCACTCGTCCACTGGGCAGCTGATCAGACTGTTTTTCATTCTCCATTTACGCGGAGGCTAATGCTGAAATGAACGAGGTCCATGGCCCGCAACAAGCTAGCAAAGATGAGTTGTGCTATCTCGTGTAAATGGAAAATGAAGAATGGTCTGATTATCTCCAAGGTATCTGAATTGGTAGCGTGCTTGCGTTTTGCCAGTGAGGTCCCGGGTTCGATCTCCAGTTGGGTCGATGGATTTACACTGCTGATGAGAACCGACCTAGTTGTAACAGCTGTCCAGTGCCTCCTCGCTTTTTTTATTACACACCAGTGTGTGATGAACACCAGATGGGGCGAACCTCATAGTCACGGGGGCCTGCTGTTCAGTGATGGTAACCGACAACCTGATCCCTGAGACTTGGAGTGGCGAACCACCTATGGCCCCGATAGGTTAGGCGTGGTATTGAACTGGACGACAGCAGAGCTGCTCACGACCAAAGTCGGGTGGCGGGACTTGAACCTCGGATCATAGGGTCCAAAGCACGCCGGTGACAGCGACTTTACCACTGCACCGCCACCGGCTCACGCTTCATTTGCTATATACACGACGAATTTCCCCTTTGTAATTCAAGCTTAATGAGTGTGGCGCTCTAATTATAATGGAATGGGCGATCCTAGTTTGGACACTAGCTATAGGTGAGGAGGTCGCCATTTGCTTACTAGGTCCCAAACTCTGTGCCCAAAAAAGACTGGTGCAGGCGCTTCAATTGCCTTGGTCGGGTGTGAAAACCAACACAGAACATGACGTGTCACTTGACCCAAGTGAGGAAAGGTCATATCAACTAACCCGCTTGTTACAGTCTCAATCAAGCTAACCCGGAGGAAAAGGCACAGAACACGTATAGTCCAGAGCACGTAGCTTTACTGAATGGATCATGCGTCACATGACACATGACAATCTACAATAGAACAATGACAGACAGGTCAATCAATAGAAATGAGTCGTGGTGTCTGTGTGCGTGTGTGCATGCGTATGTGGGTGACGTAAACACTGGTCTTCGTCTGAGAGATAAGCACTGGCGAGTGAGACGGAGACTTGATCGATGGCATAACTGACGTTGACAAATGTCACATTCCTTTCCTTTTTGTATGATTAGACCTTATTCTGTCCACTGGCTTCGACTCCCTGCCTAATCGCCGGAGAGTCTGCTCAGGTGCTGAGTCCTCCTGATGAGATGTGGCATTGTTCTCGATGACAGCAGTCGTTTCGTATGGTTCATCTTCGGGTACATGTCTAGTACGAACTCGGTCGTTATGCCGTGTCACTATTCTTCCGTCCGCGAGCTCGATTCCACTTTGCTGGCCGTCAATGCACCTCACTACACCCGGTTCCCAAGATGGCTCATGTGGTAATTTCGTGTACACTAGGTCGTCTTCTTCGAAGTTCCTG